ATTAGGGTTTGTTACCCAGTTGTAAACCGTTGGAACCGTTAAAAGATGTGCTGGAGAGTGGAGGTGGCAATAAAAGTTCAGTTGTTAAAGTTATAAGGACTCAGCCTTTATTATTTCCTGCTGACATGGAGGGGCCGCCTGAGGGAAAAGGCGAACTTTCTGACAAGGGATTTTCTCGCAACAACGGGCAACAGCGAGAGCATTTCACCATAAAAGTTTCCATGAAACATGTTGAGGGGCTGAGACAAGTGAGGAGTTACTTGTTCTCCTCTGCTCTCACAAAGGACATGAAAAGATCAGACATAAGAAATAACTTTACATCTGAAATTTATTTACATTTACATTAAGGAACCATTTGTGCTTAGTGATAAACTGCCTAGAAGACCAAAATGTCATTTACCAACTTCAGTTTTGAATCAATGGGAATTCATATTTATTTAAAAAATAACCTGCTTATACTTGGAAATTTCAAAGCAGTGTACACCAATAATACAACATAAAATATAAATAAATATATAAAAGGTGAACTACACCAAAAAGGTGTGTAAAAATAGACAAGTTTTCAACATGAACAATGATATCTGAAAGATTTAATGACGAGTGTTGCAAATGGAAACCAATTATGTCTTTTTATTGAATGGAATAAAGTGTAATGAAGTAACATCACTTCTGAAAGACCAGTGAAAGGATTTTGTTTTAAATAACATTAGATTTCTTTTCTAGATTTCTGTTGACAAGCTTAACATACTGCATTACAAAAAACAACTGCAAAATTTCAATACAACATCATAGGTAATGCAGGAATTATAATATTGAAGATTTTTCCTGATGAAAAACAAGTCTTCAGGCAAAAGTAATTGGACAATGACAACTCTGATTTTGTTATAACCATTTTAATTTAGAGGTTAATTCAAATTTAACACATATCATAAATTAAATTTAACACATAACAAAGAATATTATTATGTTTCTGTTTGTATATGATTATGTTTCTGTTTGTAAAAAGCAGTGTTTGTACATATTTTAAAGATAGAGGTTTAATTTATTACAATGCCGATAAAACCTGGTTACTCTATCTTTAGCAGAGTAATGATGCTGCTATTACATGCTGTTTCCATACTACCATACTTTGTTACTCAGATGTTTTTGGACTGCAACTCCCAGAATCCTTCACCATCAGCTCTGCTGGCTGGGGTTTCTGGGAGTTGCAGTTCAAAAACACCTGAGTAACAAAGGTTAAGAACCACTGCCTTACACTATGCACATCACTTTTTTAGGGAAGATGTTCAATAGCCATGCTCACATTTCCCTTCAAAGAATCAGTCCAGCACCCAAAGGAACATTTACAATCAGTTTTGTCAGTACATGTCAATTGTTCGTCCGAAGAATTTCACCTGGAGTCAGTGCCTGTGCATTCGTACTGTTTGTACTGGATTTTTAAATAGTTCACTAACATTTTACATAAAAATGGATTATCTGTTGATACTACTTTTTAAAACCACATTGATTGTATATTCAGTCAATTATTCATCTCGATTATCCTTTTCAGTTCAGAAATCCAGTCTGGGTCATCTTCCGCTTCAAAATCCCTACAAAAAGATGGGGAGACCTCATTGCAATGATTTTTTTTAAAAATAAAAATGTAAGACTACAGAAATAGAAGGGACTCTACTTTTCATAATGGATTCCAGTACTTTAAATCAAGGGTACCCAACCTCCAGTCCGCAGCCCGGTGCTGGTCCGTGGCCTGAGCCGGACCGGGCTGCCGAGACAGATCTCCCCCCCGCACGCACTCTTGGCCCCACACAGCCCCTTTGTGCATACGCGCACAACCCCACCCCTTTGTGAGTGCATGTGAATGCCCCGAGTGCCCTTTGCGCATGTGCCCCCACGCCTTCGCATATGCACACCCACGCTCCATTGCACATGTGCACAATCGTGGGGGGGGGGTTCTCTGCCTTCCCCAACCAGTCCATGGGGTTTAAAAGGTTGGGGACCACTGCTTTAAATCATACACTTTAGATATTCTTCAGGAAGTCCAACCAATTCTACAATTATGTGCTAATACCTGTGCACTAGAGGATTGTGGGAGGAACACTTGGCCCTGAGGAGCTCTCTTGGTCTCTGGCAGGACTGGGGCTGTGCAGCCCTGTACTGAGTGGGAGGTGCAGCCAGGGGATCACCATGCCTTGAGGGATTATGGGACAGAAGGGGTATGAGGTGCAAGGGCCAGGAAGTCCAACCAATTCTACAATTATGTGCTAATACCTGTGCACTAGAGGATTGTGGGAGGAACACTTGGCCCTGAGGAGCTCTCTTGGTCTCTGGCAGGACTGGGGCTGTGCAGCCCTGTACTGAGTGGGAGGTGCAGCCAGGGGATCACCATGCCTTGAGGGATTATGGGACAGAAGGGGTATGAGGTGCAAGGGCCATTCCAACTCATACCTTGCAGGGGAAATACCATGTCATAAAAGTGGTTTTTCCAGGGGGAGGCTCATCCATTGCACTTTGGGTATGCTGCTGATCCCTGTGATTTCCCCAAATGTAGGGCACTCAACTGCATAATTTGTGTTAATGGGTTGTTTTTCCAGGAGGCAGACCCTCCTGGATAAAAAAGTAGGTCTTATGTAATTAATGTGTTTCAATGGGGGGGAACCATCTTGCAAAACAGGATTAAAAAAAAAACATCTTGCGAGGCAAGGACCCAAACAAGGACCCAAACATCATCCAGCGAAAATTGCCCATAGGAACAATCATTTTGTGAAGTGCAACATTGCTCAAAAAATGTCATCATCTAGCGAATTCCTCGTTTTGCAAGGCAATCAGCTAGTTAGGCACCACTGTACATAGCATGGTCTCTGGCACCCTCTAGTGGCCAGTTCTGGCAATGTATGTGAAAATATTTTTTTTCCCTTTTACCACTCTATATACAGTACAGTGGTGCCTCGCATAGCGAGGTTAATCCGTTCCGGATTAACCTTCGCTATGCGAAAACATCGCTAAACGGAAATAAAAAAGCCATAGAAACGCATTGAACTTCGTTCAATGCGTTCCTATGGCTTGCAAACTCACCGTTAAGCGATGTTTCTTCCATAGCGCCGCCATTTTCGCGCCCTCGGTAAGCGAGGGCAGGGCGCGAAAATGCCGGAAGCCGGGAAATGGCCTAAAATGGCCGCGCGCAGCGTTTTCGCGCCCTCGTTAAGCGAGGCGAGGGCGCGAAAATGGCTGCCGGCCATTAGAAAGCTTTGTTGAACGGTGAGTATTTGGCTCATTTGGAACGCAATAAACCATGTTTAATGCGTTCCAATTGAAATCCCTGCCCCGTTCAACGATGCTTCAGCATAGCGAAGGTTAATCCGGAACGGATTAACCTCGCTATGCGAGGCACCACTGTATATCTACTGTTCACTATTATCCATGGTTTTCAGCATTTGCGGGGAGGGGCCTTGGAACCAACCCCTAGCAGGTATGGGGGCCCTACTGCATTTGTACATACGTGTCTTCCTCATCTGTTCTAGGTTCAAGACTCTCCGTATCCTCCATAACAGTGTCCCCATCTGGCACATCGGATGGTTTCATGTCTTCAGTAAGTGGTCCTCTCAGTACGTCCTCTGAGGCTTTAATATCAAGAAAAGAAAACAGAAATAAAAACATTCAGAGGCCCCTATGTCAAAGATTAGCAACCTAAACTCTGGTGTAAAATGCACTGTCTGTAAAATGTACTTTGCCCCACAATTGGCAGTTCTTTTTTTTTCCTTAAATGGAAGCCAAAACATAAAACCTTGTGTGTCAATGAACTAGAATATCTGGCTGTTGTAACTTGTTCCTAATCTTCTGTGTTGGTGCCTTTTCTACCCCACCCTTGCCTTCACACTTGAATTTGCACCATCACAACTACAGACTCATTCATCATAGTCTAGTCCAGTGGTTCTTAACCTTGGGTTACTCAGGTATTTTGAACTACAACTCCCAGAAATCCCAGCCACCACAGCTGACGGTGAGGGCTTCTGGGAGTTGCAGTCCAAAAACACCTGAGTAACCCAAGGTTAAGAACCACTGGTCTAGTCACTAATTTATACACACACACACACACAGAGTTCAAATCCACACTCAGCTATGGAAACTCACAGAGTGTTTGTGTGGTGACAGTAAGCCACTCTTGTTCATCTCATATGTTCAAATCCACACTCGGCTATGAAAAACTCACAGAGTGTTTGTGTGGCGACAGTAAGCCACTCTTGTTCATCTCATATACTCTGAAAACAACTACCAGGGTCCTCATAAGTATGAAGAAACTTGATGGCACACAAGATGATACAAATAAATGGAATTTTCAAACTTACAGATCACTGTACACAGTGGCCTTCCCTGCTGTATTCAAGATCTGCAGATTCGGATCTTCTATATATCTCGCATGTAGTGTGAAACTGCTGATATGTTGTACTTTACCTGCTCTGTAGATTGTATATGTTTTAAAAGCTAAGCTTATATCAGCCTTGTGAAGAATATTCATCAGAGTTTCAGGAGGTTCCTTTGTCCACTGCCTACGGGTGATTTTTTCATCGTATTTTCTCACAAAACCACCTAGTTACAAGAACAGTAAATGTTAAATTGTTGAAACAAGTACCCATATAAAAAATCATAGACAAAAATCAAGATTTTTTTTTAAATACTGAAGTAGAACTGTGTTTGCATCAGAAAACAGGCAAATCAATTTCATGTGTGTGTGTATAATCACATAATTTTTTGTTATAGAATACAGGTAAACAATTCAATTCAGATAGTGTATTTGTAGTAATACTCTCCTCAATGTCAAGTAATTCATCGGATAGTGCGCTCACAGAAGCTATGTTCATATCACTGATTTGAATACACTTCCTAATTTTGCTGGCATTGCTTAAGAAACATCTAAAAGTTGTCTTTTCGCCAAAGATGACATGGCCCAATATCTATCAAATCCTTCCCAAAGGCAGTCTGCTTCTTATTTATTTAAAATATTTTTACTCCGCCTTCCTTCCTAAAAGGCCCCAAGGTGGCTTCTTTCTTCTCCCAATTGCTGAGCTCTAACTTGAAGTATTATTTTGTTCTGCTCCACCAAATCTATTGGTCCTTCCTTCCTAAAAGGACCCATGGTGGCTTCTTTCTTCTGCCAGTTGCTCTAACTTGAAGTGGTATTTTGTTCTGCTCCACCAAATCTATTGGTACCGAAGCTGCAAAGAGAGTTCTTCCCCTTTAAGGGATTTACTCCATTGTTCACCACTGACCTGTCTGAAGGTCCCCGTAAAAAAAAATCTTAGCATTTCTTTGCTTGGTACGTTTTCATTTTGTCCCTAACCAATGAGAGCAATGCTCAATTATGTCTTTCCCTGATGACTTGATGCAAATCAGGCTGATGCCCATAAAAGCTCATGTCACAATAAACCACTAAATGTTCAGGTATGACACGGTACATCAGGAAAAATACACAGTGGTCACTGTGCTGAATTATTCAGACAAATTTCAGAAAAATGAATGCATACCGAGTCAACAGCAAGCAGAACGTTTATCTTCTGGAACAAACCATACATTGAACCCACCCATTCTTCTTCACAATTATTTTAGTATGTTTCATGTTAAAAAGAGTTGCCATAACACAACTCTTGTTGTTGTGCAAACCATCCAACTCCACCTGCCCGGCCAATTGCTACTGACAACTGCAGCCTTGCCGGTGAAGAACCTGACATACTGAGGGGGTCTCCCGGGTCTCTGGATTTTTTAAATACTCTAATTTGGACCAACAGTTGTTCACGCCTGAGTGTACACATCTCGAAGAGAAATCTAACAAGAATATCATGTTTAAATGTCACAACGACTTTTAACGGTGAATAATTCAATAGTGAATCTTATCTTACTTGTATCCTCCATGGCTGGAGTACTGGAGGCAAGCAAAGATGCGTTTTCCAGGATATTGATCACAGTATTAGATCTTCCCTTTTCCCACTGCCGTCTTTCAGGGGCAGGGAAATCAGCTGCTGCAGAGATTTCAGAAGGAAACGTTCAATGAAAATGCACTTCTGCCTTCAATAATTTCTGTGGTCCAAGAAGCAGCACGATCCTATGCATGACTAATCAGAAATGAATCTCATTGCATTTCATGAGGCTTCTCCCAAGAAAATTTGTAGAGGTCTGCAGCTTCAGAGAAGCTATTCCTTGATGAACTCACTAACGCTGAGCCTTGTGGCCTAGTGCTTGAACTGCAGTACTGCATCCAAGACTCTGCTGACATCCCGATTTTGATCCTGACAGGCTCATGTAGCTTATTCAAGGTTGACTCAGCCTTCCATCCTTCCTATGGAGGATACATTGTCCCCCCACCCCTTGAGAGCTGGGTACTCTGGGTACCCTGCTCTCGTGCAGGGGGGGGATGTGTAGCCCGCACGATTATTCTGTAAACACTATGGGACGATATATAAGCAGCACACTTTTTGCTTTGATGTAAGCCTCAGGATGACTTAATCAGAAGAAGTCTTAGCTAACAGAACACTTCATCACATACCTTTTATATCCTCACATGTTTTCTCCAATCCCATTTTGCAGGAATAGTTAGGGGTGAACTCTGCTCCCGAACATGTATTTTTGCTCCTTTCATATTTTCCTTCCTCCTTTAAAAGGTTTAATAATAGGATTACTAATACCTGACTGAACAAAATATATGAAGTTTTTTGTTTCACTTTCTTGTGTTTTGATTTGTGAGTGGATTTTTTAAAAAAATCTGTGAATATTTACCACTTTGGAATTGTATGGCATGAGATATGAGAGAGAACCTTGGTTTCTGACATAAAGCCCAGCTCCCTTGATGTCATCGTTTGAAGAATGGAATATGTAATGGCCAGAACTTCTGCAAGAGGAACTGCAGAAGTTGTTGCAGCTGCTGATCATATGTCCAGTCATATGCCATGCAACTTTTTTTGATTCCTTTAGCAAATCCATACACTTCCAACTGGATTTTGGCCATTGTAGCAATACATATTTCAAACATCAAGCCTAACAATAATCACAAGGGAATAACAATTTCCCCCCATTTCATTTGGAGGATGTCCCCCTCAAAACACTCCGAAACTGCCTACATTTATGGATCCACTGGTTACTGTCATCATTCACTCATATAAGTCTATGGTTAAGGACTTGCACTGAAAAGAAAACCAGGTGGGCATTTAAAAATTTTTCTACATGGCCAGATACCACTCAGTTTGGTGTCTGTGCAAATGAAGAATCTGCCAACTTTTTGGAGGATCACAAAGCTTTGAAACTTTTAGGAAAATACCAGTTAAAGTCTTGAAGAAGAAATAACGGATCTCTACGTGTTTTATGTTTTCAATTTTTAATCCCTGTCATCATTTCAAAAAGGAGCCTGATTTTTTTAAATTTCTAAATGTAACAATTTCACAATAATAGCTGTTATGAATAATTAACATCTGACAATTAGGACTTGCCAATTGTCATTTTCAACCTGATGCACCAGTTACATTTTTCTCTGTTGCCACACTATGCAAACTGGAAGCGGTTCCATGCAAAATCTGTTCAAAGCTCTTCTGCAATGTTTGCTAATAATATCCAGCAGAATGTAGGCTGCTAGCAAAGGATTTACTCTCCCCATTTGCAACCCCCCTCCTGCACACACTCCAAATCTGCTCCAGAATGTGTGTGTGGGGGGATGTCAAGGAAGATGCAGAGGAAGATGGATTTAGGGGATGAGAAACTAGAAGTTTGTTTATCTGACTCTGGATGGAGTCATATGTACCAATATGGATGATGATGATGATGATGATGATAGGAAGATGCAGAATATGATAGATTTAGGGGATGAGAAATGAGAAGTTTGTTTATCTGACTTTGGATGGAGTCATATGTACCTATATTTATTTTTAATTATTATTATCAACAATAAAAATATTGCAGGCACCAAATAGCAGCACCATTACTTTAAGAATACTAGTGTTCTCTTTCAGTAAACATTTGGTAGCAGGCTAGTATTGATCCATTCTTTCCCCCCTAAGCAAAACGTGCTGTCATAAAATTAAGACACAAACAAAAATATTCTAATACCTCTGCTGAAGAAAAAATTTTGATACCCTTTGCCAGGCACTTTCTTGTAAGGATTGTGCTAGCGGATGGACGGTTCTCATTGATCCATTCTTTCCCCCCCTAAGCAAAACGTGATGTCATAAAATTAAGACACAAACAAAAGTATTCTAATACCTCTGCTGAAGAAAAATTTTTGATACACTTTGCCAGGCACTTTCTTGTAAGGATTGTGCTAGCGGATGGACGGTTCTTGGGATTCTTCTTAAACATTTGTTTTATCAAATAGTGCAATTCGTAGGAGTAGTGTGGCGGAAGTGGAGTGTAGTATCCTTTACATATCTTAAGTATAAGATGTTTCCAGCTATTGGCCTGAAACTGAATTGAACAAAAAAGGAAAGAAAGCAAACAGCTTACAAGAATCATCGTTTATTTTTATGTGATGTCTTAAAAAAACCTACCTGGTGTACAAAAGCTATTATAAAAATAACACAAATACACAGGAGTGTATTTAGCAATACATATTGAATCGGGTGGGAACCTTTGGCCTTCACTGTCTATGGTTCAGCCTCGTCCCCTATACAGTCATTAGGCTTATAGAAATACTTTTGTTGTTACCAATGGAAGCTTTTTAAAAGCGAAAATGGCGGCCCTATGGAGGATTTCCGCTTAGCGGTGAGTTTATCCCCCATAGGAACTCATTAAACGGAGTTTAATGCATACCTATGGGGTCTTTATTTCCGTATAGCGACGTTTCCCGATAGCGACGATTTATCCGGAACGGATTATCGTCGCTGTGCGGGGCACCACTGTATTTAGCAATACATGTTGTATTGGGTGGGAACCTTTGGCCTTCACTGTCTATGGTTCAGCCTCGTCCCCTATACAGTCATTAGGCTTATAGAAATACTTTTGTTGTTACCAATGGAAGCTTTTTAAAAGTCTCATTACTCTGTGTAGTGGCTGTTGTGGTGTTTGCGATGTGCTGGCAGGAAAGACTATTCCTTCCCTGTGCCAGCAATAGCACAGGTTCCCATTGTATCTCCCCACCCCCGCCATGATGTCAGTAACACTTTTTTTAATGCTTCTGCTTGCACCCATCAAAGGTTTCTTTAAAATGCCAAGAAGCTGCATGAATGATGGAAGTTTTGGAGGGAATCGCTGCTGGGGATGGGTGCATTCCTCTTCCCTGCACAATAGGAATGATACCAGCAATAGCAAATCAACTCTGATTAAAACCTTCCCTTGGGTATTTTGGGTGCACAGACTAACACCTGCTGATGTCACTCCTATTGTACATGCAGAGCTATGCAACAGGATTCCAGCCTAAGAATGACTTTACATTTATATCCATAGTTTCTTCACATTATCCCAGAGGGAAGCAGTAAGTGTGCCAGGAATCCAAGTGTGGGCCTCTAGATAGGAAAGTAATGTGGCAGTTGGCCCTGGCTCGGTTCCTGGAAATAAGGAACAAAGAAAAGATACTCACTGGATGTTTAAGAGTGCACAGCTCATACAAAATGCATCCCAAAGACCATATATCACTAGAAAGACAGGTTTGAACAGTCAGTTAGCTTATGTTCACTCTCAAATTTACTATAAACAAAATATCGTGCAAGTGCACAAAATTAAATTACATTACAGCATCCAAATGAAAGCTAAAAATAAATGCTTATGTGAAGATATGCAGTTCAGAATCTGTTCTCCACATAGGTTTGCCAAAGTCGTATCTACGTAGCTTGGACCTCAACACGGTGTTAAAAGCGGTTTGTGCAGACCTGTTAAAAAATTTCTGCTGGGCTACTCTTCCCCCATTCAGCTACCTGACTTTTTAAAGAAAGCTCTCTGCATGGTTCCTGCCAACTCTTTATGAGCCAAATGATATTAAGAATAAATTTGTGTCTACAATATGAAACTGTTGGATAGTTCAGTGGCTTAGGTTTCTGGCTGTGGAGTTCAATTCCCCACTGGGCCTCTTTGAGAGGGACTGAACTCGATGATCCATAAGGGAGCTTCCATCTCTGCAATGCAAAGACTATAATTATGTACGGCATGGCAAGCCAATAGCTAATGAGGCCCCTTATCTACCCATTCCTATTGTCTTTCACATATTCATCCCCCTGCCTGCACTGTGGTGTTAGAAGTTGCAAAAGTCAACATTTAGGTTCTAAACAAAATTAGCAAATTGAATAATTTTGTCCTGATATGCATAACTTTATTTTTGGTAGAAGATTAAAACAAATGCTATTTCATGTTTAATTACCTTTTATTATTGTAGGGCATGTTCTCCCATATTTCTGGAGGCACATAATAAGGGGTTCCCACATACGAACAAGCATATGCCGTTGGGCTTCACCAGAAACAAACACACGTAATGTTAGAAACAACAGACTAATACTTCTACTGCAACTAGAAACCGATTTTTCAAAAGTATAACATGGAAGAGATCCAGTCCTGCTTTATTATTACTTGCCTGCTGAGAAGAAGTGCAGACCCAAAGTCTCCCAGTTTTACCTTCCCACGTTGTGTGAGAAAAATGTTCTGCAAAAGGAAGGGAAGTCCATACATAAATGAAGCAAAGTTAATCGAAATCTATCACCTGATATATGGCCTAATAAAGCAAAATATAGCTGAACTCCTACTTGTGTAAGTCACTCTGCATTATGGTTGATGACGTCCATCAACCTTACATGGCATGATTTATACAAACAAAATATCAGTATACGGATTTTAGGATTTTCTGTTTAAATCAGCACTCAGCTGTTTGTGTCTATGGACAGCATCAAAATCTATGGCTCAATAAAAAACAGATGTCTCTATGCTATGTTTATCTATGTTTTGCTAAGTCCTCAGAATTTACTGGCAATTACCTAACAGCCATATTACTTTTCATTTTAAGGCAAAATGCTGCACAGCGTCTAAAGTTTCGTCCAAGAACACTGGTTTAAAGCAAATGTGGGCAGATGTTACTGCACTGAAGCGTTGGTTGGCTGGGCAGGGACCCCACATGGGTGTGCTCACACTGACGTCCCCGTAACAAATTCTAATCCAGATTGCTGGGATTGTCCTCCTCCCAGTGATTTTAATCCGGATGGTGGGGTAAGGGTGAGGTTACAGCCTGTTCCCATCCCTGACGATGCTTCTCAGAAGACTGAAAGAAAATGATCCCCCTGGGAAACAGGATACACAAGAGCCAACTCCACTGCACATTCCCTGCGGTAGAGAATGAGGGTAGCAGATCAGGAGGGGGTGAAAGCAAGGCACCCACAGTGGACTATACTGGCTGCCCAGTCATGGTTTAAACTGGCATGTCCCTAGGTAGATGAGGGACATGTTGACAGAACTGCTGGTTTCCCCCCCCATGATTTTATTGGCACTGGAGTTGAATTCACACCATCTGACCATCAATCTGGGAGGAAAATATCAGTACCACCCATTTGACAGAAAACTCACTTGGGATCAAGAACAGACAATTCGTTTTATAAAAAAAATAAAAGGATGCAAATATGTCACCTAGATATACAGAATTACAAAACTTCACAAACTGGCTTCACGTTTCTCATTTTTCTAAGCAGAAAAGGAATAGCACCAGTTTTGGCGTAACAACCATTGAGATAGATTTCATTTACCTTGGATTTGATGTCTCTGTGCAATACACGTTTTTCATGAATATATTTTACTCCCAAGCATATCTGTGCAAACCAGTTAAGTATCTACGGCAACAAGAAAGAATATGGAACAAGGGGTTATGCATTGTCTTTATACAATTGGAAATAAATAAAGGAAAACAGAAAGCAGCCATTTCCCAAGAAGTAGCAGTGTTGTCAAAAGAAAAGAAAGTGAAAAAAAAAACAAACACAAAAATATTCTGGCACCAAAGACGAACCATTTTACTGAGCGTGAACTTTTGTGGATCAAAGTCTACGTCCTCCAACATAAAAATGTAAATATATGACTAGTATATTTATACATACCCTTCTGACTAGGTAAGGAATAGGATACAGGTAATAGACCAGGACAAGGTTCACAAATACAGGAATAGGACTATCAAGCTGTAAATTACTTGGTTTAGAAAGTCGTGGGCAGAGCAATCACTACCAACCTGGGTGGATGTGACTGTCCCAGGAATTCTTACAAAGAGGTCCCTGTTTCGCTAGAAGGTGGCTGGAAGCCGGGCACTTCCGTTCTGCTCCCTGACTCAGGGAGGTGGCCCCTGTTGCCTATCTAGTAAGCTTGAGGAATGGCGGCCGTTTGGAGGGACTGTGGAGGGAACTTTGTGAGGGAACAGCAATATATGCTGGCTCAAGGCTATGGAAAGGGTGGACGACAAGGAGTGCAGAGAGGTTTGGGAAAAGGTGGGGCAGCAGCGGGGAGAGCCCACCCTATGTGGGGAGTAGGTTATGAGCTGCAACAGGGTCATGGATGAGTTCAAGTGAGGGTGGACGGGATTGGACTCCGGCAAGGGATCAGCGCTCACGGGCCCAGCAAACGCCTTGAAAAGGAGTATTCAAAAGACCCCCAGTTTATAATAGGATAGTGTGTTCTTACCATCTCTTCTGGAAAAAATGTTCCCCTTTGCTGTATAATCTTTCCCATAAGATCTCCATCATCACAATACTCCATTACTATGTACAGATGTCCATCAACTAACATCCAGAGAAATTCAGACTGATTAGTAATGGCACACTATTAGGCAAAGCACATGACTATTACGTTATTATTTAGATAGCACAGATAAAACAAGGATAATTCAGAGAAAGAATTCTGCAAAGCGAGTACCATAATCACAACAGATTTTTTTTACATCTGGACTTACCTTCAAATGATTCTGTAAAGGTGACAATATTTGGATGTTTCATTTTAGCCAAAAGAATGGATTCATTCCAGGACTTCTCTGTACCAAGGACAGACTGGAAACACATTGCCAGTAAATAAAAGCACAGAGCTCCCACAGTAGTACAAATACAATACAGAAAATTTAGACAATACAGAAGGACTGCTCTATCAGCAGAAGATTGGTTCCAAGCCCCCACCCCCATGCTGCAAAACACAGATTATAACAAACACTATTATAATAGCAAAGACTACACATAGCATGGTCTTTGGCTCCCTCCAGTGGCCAGCACTGATAATGACACTGTGGAAATATATTCCTTTAGCAAATGCTATACAGTGGGGTCTTGACTTGAGAACTTAATCCGTATTGGAAGGCAGTTCTCAAGTCAAAAAGTCTGTAAGTCAAGTCTCCATTGACCTACAGTGCATTGAAAACCGATTAATCCCGCAACAGGCCGTTTTTGTTCCATTTTGGTTATATTTCTGGTCTGTAAGTCAAATCTCAGTCTCCGAGTCAACCCTAAATTTTGCGGCCAGAGAAGTCTGTAACTCAAAAAGTCTGTAAGTCAAGCCGTCTGTAAGTCAAGGGTCCACTGTACCAGGGAGAGTCCCCTGGACTGCAAGGAGAACAAACCTCTCCATTCTGAAGGAAATCAACCCTGAGTGCTCACTGGAAGGGCAGATCCTGAAGCTGAGGCTCCAATACTTTGACCATCTGATGAGAAAAGAAGACTCCCTGGAAAAGACCCTGAGGTTGGGAAAGTGTGAAGGCAAGAGGAGAAGGGGACGACAGAGGACGAGATGGTTGGACAGTGTCATCGAAGCGACCAACATGAATTTGACCAAACTCCGGGAGGCAGTGGAAGACAGGAGGGCCTGGCATGCTCTGGTTCATGGGGTCACGAAGAAGAGTCGGACATGACTTAACGACTACAAACCTTTTCGGGCCCTGAGTGCCCAAACTTAAAAAAAGAAAAGAAAAGAAAAGAAAGGAATAACCACCAGGCGGAAGCAGAAGTGGAAGCAGCAGCAGAAGGGAGAATCTCGGGCATGGAGGTGCCTTCAGACCCCACTCTGGATTCGCCACCAGTACCACTTACTCCAGATCCAGACTGGCCCCCTTTTGGGGCACTAGCACGCGGCTGCAGCCGCCTCCTCAGATTTGGCTGCGGGGGTGGTGGTGTAGCGATCCAGTGACTTATGGCTCGCGCACCCGCAGAGGGGGCTCTGCATGCCAGCTGTGGCATACATGCCATAGGTTCGCCATCACTGTACTATACAGTCTCTCTAGTGGCCACTCTGGGTAACTTCATAGTTAGAATTATACATTTATGAGATTTTTTTTTAAAAAAAAACATTTTAAATATTTTCAGACCATAAGTGAAACAGCAGATACTGATCTTGGAGATAAAGGGGTCCTACTGTACTTACCGCTCGCCACATGGCATGCATGGCCAGTGTCGTTCTTGTTGTGCCGATCTGGAAAACAGCCTGGCTGGCACTTCCCCGCCTCCCTGCACAACAGCTGAGTGGGGAGACCCTTCATCCCATCTCCTCGCCGGAGTGGTCAGCTGTGCAGGGAAGCACCCGCTGGGCTGCTCCACCGACTGGCACAACAAGACCGATGCTGGCTGTGCATGCTGCATGACGAGCGGTCAGTGGACCTGCCCGTTTGGGGTGGGAGGGCCCTGTTTTCCCAGGCACCTATAGTGCCCACATTCGTATTCGGATCCATATTCCCAGGGATACAAAAACAACTACCTCATGTCTAATGGCAAATCTAAGAAAGTGCCTTCTGAACTTGATGCTTGGGACAGTAGTGAACATGCTGGATTTCGGGAGTGAAACTCATGCTTTCCTATGGTCTCCCTAATGTCCAAAACACTCAAGGAGTCTGCTGGAGGACGCTTCCAATATGCCCCAGAATTTCACAAGGATTTTCTTAGGGTCTAAGACGTAGTCCAACAATCTGATCCCACTATTGGTAGCTTTCTGACTGGAAAAACAGAATTCTCTCAAAGCTCCACCTGGCGTGACTTTTGCAGGGTATATAATTTTTAACACAGTATTTAATCTGCCCTTTTATTGCTGAGATGACTTTGCAGCCTGCACAT